ATAGGACCAGCTCTACTACAAGAACTCAGTATAGCCATCGAACGAAGAGTTATGTCCGCTGCGGAAAAGAAGCGAATTATTCTAGAAACCAAGTTTTCAAGACTGATCAGAAACAACAAAAATGGTACCATCACCACCAACAACGAGACGTGGATCAAGAACCTCTCTAGCAAACGACTGACTGCTCAAGAACAGGATGTTCTTGAACAAGGACTAAACTTCAATTTCAAAGATGCCACCAATCTGGAGTTCTTGGCTAGCCTAGAGGCAGCTATGAGATCCGCCGAACTGAATGAGAATGCTCAACAACAACTCCGTCAAACTGTTGTACCGGCCATCACACGAAACGAAACTCTCAACCTTCTGTCAAACAAGGAAAGGGAAGCATTAGAAAATTTCGAGAAAGATGAAACCATCATCATTCTACCTGCGGACAAAGGACGGATTACCGTTATCATGGACAAATCGGACTATATAGACAAAGCAAAAGCTCTGCTCAACGACACTACCACGTATCGCTGTCTGGAGGACAGCGATAAAATCGCGAACAAAATCAACAAGAGCCTGAAGCGACTGAAGGACCTCCAAAAGATCACAACCGAAGAATATTGGCGAATGAGAGCCAGAGAATCCAATAGCCCACGCTTCTATGGACTCTCGAAAGTACACAAGGAGGCCACGCCACCAAGGCTAATTGTGTCACTCCCAGGCACACCAACCTACAAGCTTGAAAAGGAACTATGGAGAAAGATAAAGTATCTCATCAATGAATCGCAACACTCAATCAAAAACGCACAACAGTTCTTGGATAAACTAAAAAATGTGACGATAGAAGAGGACGAAACAATGGTCTCATTTGATGTCAGCTCACTGTTCACATCAGTGAACCTTCACTCCGCAAAGACAATAGTCGCTGAACTACTGGACAGTCATGGACCTTCCAGTGGATCTCTAAGGAAGGAAGACATATGTGAATTGCTCAGCCTCTATTTGACCAAGTACTTCGAATTTAACGGTGAATACTATGAACAATTGAAAGGAGCACCAATGGGTTCCCCAATTTCAGGGTTCATCGCCGATATTGCGATGCAAAAACTGGAGAGGACCGTGTTGCCGGACATCAACCCGAAGCTTTGGGTACGTTATGTAGACGACACTTTTGTCATCATCAAGAAGAGAGAACTACAACGAGCAATCCAATTGATAAACAGTGTCTCCGATGACATCAAGTTCACGATGGAAGAAGAAAACAACAACAAGCTGGCGGTTTTAGATGTCCTCGTCACAAGGTTGCCGAACGGACAAATGCAAACGGAAGTCTACAGAAAAGCTACGCACACGGATCAAATTCTGAGCTACCACAGCAACCACCCAAACTGCCACAAAGAGAGCTGCATCCGGACACTATTCAAGCGAATTGAAACACACTGCAACACAGTAGAATCTAAAGTAAAAGAAGAGAAACGCCTATACAGAATGTTTCAAAGGAACGGTTACCCAAGGAATTTCGTCTGGAGATCTCTGAGAAAATGCAATTCAACCAACGCGACAACCAGAAACACAAGCAAAACAATCACATTACCATATATCAAAAACATTTCGGAGATGACCGCCAGGATATTACAACAGCATGCCATAAAAGTGGCCCACAGACCGACTGACACGCTGCGAAGAGTACTATCAAAACCAAAGGGGACACTTAATGCAATGGAAAAGACAAATGTAATCTACAAAATTCAATGCAATGATTGTGAAAAACACTACGTGGGACAAACAGGGAGGAAACTGTCAACCAGAATCACCGAACATAAGCTCGCCACCAAGAGACATGACCAACTCTCTCTCATCTCTGCACACGAAGATGGGGAAGGACACCATTTCGATTGGAATAACGTCAGAATACTGGGCCAAGCAAGAACAAAGAAAGAACGCGAGTTCATGGAGGCGTGGTACTCCACTGGTGGAGCAATAAACAGGCACATTGAGATTGATCCTGCCTACCAGCCTCTGAGGACAAAGGAAATCCAGAACCACAGAACCCGAGGCCGAACAAGGACTCAAAGAAGAAATCAATAGAACAGCAAGCTACTAAACATAGGAGGCACGCCACAAACCAACAGAGAAGCCGACCACGACGCAATACAGATCAAGAACGGGCCAATCAGAATCCAGGTTACAGCGCAAAGGCTGCCCATTGTAGACTATATACACGCAGGCACGAAGAGAGGAACTACCCAACCAACAGCGCACTGAAGATTTCTCCTCAAATGATGACGAAACGTTTGCAAATCAATTGCCAAGCTCGGCGAGCAGACCAACAGCCACCTGATCAGTTACAAACCAATACACTCGAGCTACCAATATTCCAACACATTACCAACATAGGTTCGTGTTGCGCCACCCTACGTGACCTAAGAGTAGCCAAAGGATAGCGACCTCAATTCAGACAGTTTCCATGTGATTTTCTTGTTATAGTCCACAGATCATAGCCTTCAATAGATTCATTTAGGTCTGCGATTATGTTTGTCGATACTTTATTGGCCTGTAGCTAGTGAGAAGCCAGATGACACTTGGCATGATTCTCCGCTGAGTGCTTTTGCTGGTCACAGTGAAATGGTTGTGCAATGACGCTTGGATTTTCGGTGTAGACTAAATTTCTCTTTTTGAGAGAAATCCAAAATCATTAGAAGAAAGTAGTTCACCGAATAGACCGAACAATGAGGCTTCTGTGAGCCAATCCCAATTCGCTTACGCAGTAAATGTCCCGTTGTTGAACAGTAGTAGAACGGAAATAAATGTAAGTTACCGGGGTTGTACATGCTCATCCAATCGACAGTAATCTATTTCATTTCAAAATGTGTATTTCAAATCGAATTTCTTAGTTCCCGAGCGACCGAGGGCGCGTAGTCCTGAATGCTCATCAAGATAGTGACAGGTGCATCAGTAGTGTTCAGGTTTCCTAAATTCGAACACCTTTCCACTGGTTGAGGAACTTTGTTACCTGTGCGAAAATGTCGTTTACAAGCTATGTAGGCCCATTACACTTACGTTTAACATTTCGCTCACAGCTGCGATTATTATCATGAGACGTCGATAATCTGGTAGTGTCCCCAGATAGGTTGCCTTACATGCCGCTAAAAGCAGGACGGGCAAGTGACACTGAACGATATGGTACTTCTTCCTTCCTAAATTTCCATGCATCCGTTCTTATCCTCTAAGCCCTGTGAGTACTCTATCTGAAGGTTCCAACAATAGCATTTGCTTTGCATCGTCATTAGTGGTAATCTCTGCGCGTCTGTGTTGAGCATGAGCTACAGATACCCTCGAATCAACTTTAAAATCCCAGAATTCGGTCTACTTGGCCGCATTCAATGTTTGAACTCCGAATCAAGCAGGACAGCCAGCTTCTGTTGATTGTTTTGTGGCTTTCTTTTGCACTGATATATGCTACCTGTCAGGGGCGAGGATCCAGTACACAAGTACAGCGCACACAGGTACTGTAATGGAACTAACCGCCCTTTCGCGCTCTTCTTACTTCTGACTGCGCATGTCTGATGACGCGAAGGCAGCTTCAGCTGGGTGTACAGGGATGGGTATTTTGTTCCGCTATCAAGAAGAAGTGACCATAGTTAATTGGATACCGGCTGATGGTCGCCTGTGTGCGATTTATTCGGCATGTTCTGTGAAAGAGTTTCAAGGAAGTGAGGTCCGCTGCTCTCCATTTATTGTATTTGCTTTTGTCCCAGTGGACTGTATCTCTGAATCTCCAGAAGGCAGTTGTTTTGAGGCTTTGGGTTTTCTATTATAATGCACCAAACGCCAAGACATCTGTATGTTAGCTGGTGAACTGTATGCGCAGTTAGACAGGTTTGAGGCTGCTGAAGCTTAATGAATGAATCACATGATTATATGAGGTCAACCTTCAAGCCTCCTCCGTCCCATATTGCCATTAGTTGACAGTGGTGGGGGACCCCAAAATGCATTAAAATACGCTTCCTCAACGCCTGCTTGCTGGTCCTTCATCGGATGTCACCAACCCTCGGAGCTCTACATGGTACTCGGACTTCTAATCACGGTGCAACCCAGCCAACTTCATCAAAACAGTAGATCTCTTATTGAACTGTGGCTTTTTGGGATTTGCGCGACAGATCTCTTCCAGTCGCACTCAATTTCCAACTTGACGCCAAGCCAAACGATGTACCTATGCAGATTTGAAGGTTTGATGGTTTCCGAGAATTGAAAGAAGTGAAAAACGCTGGAAGCGTTCGCAGGTTGCTGCGCACGATTTGTTCAACAGGTCCTCGGATGCCTGTTGTGAGTGGGACCATAAAAGACAACAACAACTCTCTGATATCACTTGAACCAGTGAGCAGAATAATTTGAACAACTTAGTGGGCCACCTGCTACTTCTTGTTGGACCCGTCTACCCCTGACGGAAATATAGACTGTGAATATGGAACGACTTCGGCCTCCAAAGTGTCCAAGTGTATATCCCTACTCGGGCATCATCGTACTTCTGCTCCTTACTAACCTCGATGGGCTTTGTTAACGTAAAGGTATGAAGTCCTCAGTCACTGCCTTTCCAACCCGTTTTCCTATATCTGGAGAAATAGGCCATCTCAGACATCTGGAATGAGTCGATTTCAGTATCAATCTTTGAAGAGAGTACCCTGGTTGGATGGCAATAACCACAAAGGTGCCGATTTAGCTCTCGTTTATAACAATGGTTCCGGCATCAACCACGCTTCGTCTTCCTAAAGCGGTAGATGAAACCGTGGATCGTGAGCGTCAAACGGGATTTCAGTCAGGGAGAGGCTTACTCGACTAAATTTCTGCTCTCTGTTAGGCGCTAGAGCTGTGATACATGTACAGACGGCCCACAATCTTGGTGTTTCTTGGCTTTAACGGTACTTTCGTCTTTGTTAATAGGTCAGTGCTTCTGACTACGTTTGTGGACGTATTTTGGAATTATATTTACATAACTCCAGGTGTTTGGGTGGGGGAGCGTTGTGTGGGGAACTCTCAAAAGGCTGTCTAACAAGTAGCGATGTTCAGTATTAGTTTTCACGCTCTCTATTTTTGTTCAGCTTCATGAACTAATGGGAAAACTTTGGAAGGTTCCCAAAACAATGGTGTTAACTTCGCGACCTGGATCACGTAAATGACGTCATCATAATGTCTGGAAACGATGGCAGAGCACAAACATTGTTACATAAACTGATCATTATACTCGTTTTCAGCATTCGCCTTTCACCCGCGAGTTGTAACGTTGTGCTTCAGAATGTGCGGTCTCTGAATTTGACGTTTGGATATAGTGACGCTGTTTTTTGCAGTGATTATGGAGACCAAAACACAGCTATCTGAGATGCAAATTTATTTGAAAAATGTTTGCTGGCCTGGTTACACAGTCGCTAGAACGTGTAAAACCATGCACTAAATATCTGTTTTGTTTTAATTTTAGCACCCAACCTGGCTGAAGTTTATTTGCTTATAAATATATTCGTTTCATCATCCTATATATTTTGTCGACTGGGCGTTTGCATGAAAAGTATTTCATTCGTTATACAGGACTGGATATTTCTTACTTCCCAGATATACTCAGTCAAAGGTGGCCGATCCATTGGTAGGATAATTCGTGAATGGCGCGATGACTGCGATGTGTTCTACATTGCTTTCCCACGTGATCTTCATGTGGTTCTGAAGCTCCTGGTGATGAGTTCAACCGTGCTCATTGTAAGTAATCCTGTTAAACCCAGTGTGCAAATAATGACAACTACAATTTTCGTGTTACCGTCAAGAGGAGTACGACGGCGGCTAGTTTCTGATCAATCCCTGCGACGGTTTCCCCGTCGTCCTTTTTTTAGGCCAACAAAAGTGGTGCCAAAAGCCTTCCCAAAAGTAATCCGATTGTCTAAAAGTAAACATGTCCCGTGAGTTTGCTTGGCTTCCGCGTTGTCGATCAATCTCAGCAGTCTTGTGGGATACATTTCAACATCTGAAATGATTTCCACTCAGTGGATTGTAGTAAATCCGGTTGGGTCTACTTGCTTCCGTGGTCAAAGGTTCTTCTGTACCTTTACATTATACTGACATTGGAGTGCTCAGACTTTCTCAGCGTGTGCTTCCGAATACAGCTATTTCCGAAGACACTTGGTTACATCCAAATCTTTTGGGATACTTGGAAGATTTGTATTACGAAGGCACGATCCGCGTCGTCCCAGGTTATCGGTTCAGAATCACCACTGCATACTACTCGAACGATTCATAAGTCAGAACAGCACGCCGTTAGTGTACCCATGTGGTGCGATTTTGGTTGTGGATTACATCCTGGTAAGGTTAGAAATCTATCTACTCTGACGCAGCTCATCAAATCTTAACACCTAAGAAACCGTTTATATTTAATTTGATATCATTGCCTAACCGTTGCTAATGTCAGTGTCCAAATCAGTTCTGCAGGGAGTTTTGAGCGTGCAATCAGGCACACATGCCATAGAGTGAAATGTTTAATTGCGAGTACAACTCACCAGCAAGTAAACGCTAGGATACTGATACCTCCTCCATCCAATAAATATCGACAAATTGGTCCTCTGTTTGCTCCTAAATTTATGATTATATATTCTTGACAAACAAAGTGGTAAGGTTCTTTCAATGCTTCTGGAAGTCCACTGTTTTCAAGGGTACGTCTCCGAGACGTCTCCGAGAAAAGCGCTTTTCGGCACGAGGCTTTCGTCACCTGGAACTGTCTTCCAAAGAACAATGAATGTAGAATATCCTTCTCATTGAGAACATCCTGGGCTGAGAAAGCGGTTTCTTGTCTGAATAGTCTTGGTACTCCAAACCTCTTCCAGCTATTCTGCTGTTCATCAACTTTACACCGCCCGCTAATGAATTTTTTGCTCTCGTTCGAGTGACTAGTGAAACCAACCGACGACAAAGGGAATCCTACCACACGTTGCTGGGGCGAAGCCTGTTGAAGCTGATTGTTGAATATAGGTGAATTGTTTTTGGAGCTCTACATCTGCGAGAAAGAAAACTCCGCTAATCCAAAAGTTTTCAAGTCATATCTTCAATATGGCCCACTAATCAACGAGGTTTCATCTCCTCTCTTCAGTATGGCAGTTTGCTTACAACTAATCAAGGCTAAGAGAACACTTAGGCCAGTTGAATAGGCAGTTCCGAAGACATGAAATTTCATCATTTGTTGAATGTTGGGCGATAAGCGTAGCAAAAATGAAAGTATTTGAACACTGTGTTCGGAATAAGTGTTGCACCCGGACAGAGCCGAAAATCGTGCCAGGTGGACCAGCTGTTCGTCTGAGCTACAAACTGTGCCTGGCTCACGCTGTGGGTGGTATTGCCTACTTAGGAACCGCTTCTTGATAAAATAAGCTTGATTGGTCATGACAATCACGTAAACAGCCTAATGAACCCAAGGAATTTCGTTTTAAAGGGCTTTATCCCCAGAGGTGCTGCTCCCAAGAAGCGTCCTAGGTTAGTAGAGATTCTGGATTCGACTATTTACTTTTCTTCCTTAAGGCGTTCACCAACAAATCAGTAATATGTATCTGGACATAAACTGAGTTGTTGGGCCCAGCATGACATATAAGTGATTTATTGCCGTATTCAATGGGAATGATTGGATATCTGTCCTTTCTGGAGTGTTGTATTCGGCGTACGGCAGTGAAGCATCGGTGTTGAGCACTGATGTCATGATGTCGACGATGATGATGATGGTGTGTTCGGCAGAGTGAACATTCCATTTTTTACGAATCCTCACCACGTGCTCCTACAGAAAATCGGATTGAGACTAGATCAGCAAGTCCGACACCAATGTGTTTCCGGATATTTCAGGTTGCTATTTTTAGCTGAGAATTGTCTACCGGCAATCGTGCTGTATCGGCGTTATCCCGGTTCTAAATTTCTGAAGGTTTACCGCATCAGCTGATACCCATTTTTGCACCATCCATTCTCTGTTGATGCTTTCATGAAATCGTTGCTGACCTCTGGAGCTCTATCTAGCAGCAGCTTTCACTCAAGTTTGCACTTCCACTTCGAAATGGCCGTTTGGAAGCTACCTTTCCATTACAGGATTGCTTCTTCACTCTGTTTCTAACCTAACTCTGTGTCTTCTGACAATTTGAGAGCGTTTAACTTGCTTTCGCATAACATTTTTTGAATCCACATAGGCATTTGGACCACTCCCACCCTCTAGTTTGAAGGTGGTTAAGGTTCTGGGATTGTCGATGCCGCAACTGAGCTACCAGTTGCGTGGCACCTTAGAACATGGTTTTTCTCTCGTCCGTCACAGAGTCAAATGTGCACAAAGTCTTAAAGAAAAGCTAGAAGCTGTTGATGTCGAGATAAAGACTGCCATGAAGGTGAACACCAGAAAAGCGGAACCAATGGTGATTTGACGGAAAAGGAAACTTCTAGTGACCGCGGTTTCAGTTGAAACGTTTTGCTTTGTGGATGAACTGGTCAATCCTCTGGGTTTGACAAACAGTGGGAATTATGTGGTCGTCCTCTTTACTTTAATGTTGGAAGGGATCAGCAACCAGTGACAGCAGCTGCTGCAACTGTTAGGCGTGTTGATTCACGCCTAACCGCACAAGTAGATTACTTATACTGAGGCTGATCTTGATCGTCCAAGTCTACTGTAAACTCGCAAAACACTGGAAAATTAGATCAGTGGGTCTATTTGTGACTGGCTGCGTTCATCCAAGGACATCACAAGCAGATAGATTCGTGCCAGCAAACATCATGAAGGGCTCCATATCCCAAGCCTGAGTTTGACCGCTCCGATAGGGTGGACGACGCGTATAGAAAGCTGCTGTCTGCGCAGTGCCGCACACTGCGCAATATAGGTGTTACCGCATCTGGCGAATTCGTTCGGCATTTCAGCTCTCCAATCCCGAGCCCAAATTTACTAGTGTGAATGTCGAAGAAGAAATTGTAATAGCTGAAGTCAGTGGTCTGTCCGACATACTTTATGGTCCGATCTTCCGGGTATTGACCGCCGCACCTCTTTCGAATCGACGACTAGTATTGTCTTGCCTCGGGTATTTAGTCACGGTATCCAGCCCCGTTGCCTCCTGCCATGGGTGGGGAATAGAAGTTCCCTACGCGATAAGGGTGAACGGAGATCCTATGTCGTGAACGCTGTCGTCAGCTGGAGAGTTTGTTGCATAGTTCGCACTTCTGCTGAACAAAGCACCATGATGATCGGCAAACTAACGATAATCGGGTTGCATAGGAACTCGGAATGTCTCTGTCATTTGGAGTTGAAACGAGCCTCCTTGTTATCGGGTGTGCCTGCTTAGACAAGTTTCGTCAAGCCCGAACTAATCACATTTCGGAACGCCTAGAATGGTAATGGAATAGAGCATGGTATCGCATGGGCGAGCGATGATTGTGTGGGGTAAGTTGGGGCGGAAGTGCAGTGCCGATGAATGTTTCCTTGCTATCATCCCAGTGCCGTCGATTGTGAATTCTATTTGCGGGTTAAGTAACCGAAGTTCTTTTCATATCGAGCTATCTGCCTTCTTCAGTTTGTTAAGTTTGCTGTTGGACCGGGGCTTGCTAACTGACTAATATTTTCTTCGTTCACTGGTATGGGCCTTCGCCATACTTATGACAAGTAAACAGCGTTAGGCACTGGTTTTCTTTTTTCAGTTGTCGGCCTTTACACAAGTCTCCATGCCAGCCATTCCAACTTGATTTAGTGGGCATTTTCGTCTGACTCAGGAGCAAGTAAAAGCCTTCCTTCTCCGTGAATATTTTCCTAGTTTTTTGTTCTTCTCGTTTTAAATCTGCCATCTGCATCAACATGTTGGCAAATAATGGTGTTGAAAAATAAACATTGCTTACCAGTTCTGGTTTAAACCCAAATGTGTTATGGTAGCCTCGAAACGTGTGTTCCAACGATTCATTATTTGGACCGACTATTTTGTGATATGTAGTAGTGTATCGGTTAATCCGACGTTATAAACGTAGATGAGCGAGATGATGTCCCGTTAAGGCATGTATCGGTTTTCTGCTGTATCTCTAATTTCTTGGTTGAATTATTTACGAATAAATTGCTCATTTGCTTGGTTATGACTGTTGGTACGTATGGCTAATTCCGTTATTCCGGTGGTGAAAGCTACTGGAGTCGGTGGGCGATATGGTATTCCAACTTTATTGGTGGATTTTGGAGCAGGAAGAAAAGCTCGCAAAACCCGCAGGCAATGGTGTGCCGAATTAAACTTGTGTATTGCCAACGAGGTTCTCATAAAGTTATGCATATTGTCCGATACGAGGCATCCGTCGATTAGTCTAATTGACCGACATTTGATAGCTGGTTTTATTTGGTAAGGAGAAAAACATTCTAATATGATCTTCCACTTTTCTGTGGGAAGTCTAGAAACTGATACCTTGAAATGGTTAGAAATGTTCATTTAGGTCCACCGCGATTACCTTAATCAGGAGGACCTTTCTAGTTGATCCTCTGAAGCCGGCCGGCGTTTTATTAGAAGGTTAAGAACAGTGCAGTGTGAGATAGAAGTTTTGGGACCGATGAGCGTGCGACTGTTGCATAGAAGCAATCCAGTTGACAGTTATGACAAGTAAGCAGACAGCTGACACACGTCAAATCCTTGACTACCCCTTGTAATTCTGACATAGAACATCGTAGACCTACTGATCATGATGAGATCCATGTCATGTTTGCAAGGTATGACTGCTGATCGATGTCAACGGCAGGATTTTATCCAGATTGCCTGAATGAGTGTCTGGAGGTGTTGGCATCTCAGCCTATTTGTAGTAAGCTAGCACTAAGTCCTTTTCCCGCACAACTTTATTCTTTTTCTCACAATCAGTTCTCAAATAAGGCATGGTTGTACGGAAGTGGGGCATCACTGACGTCTTATTGTAGATGGTGATGATGATGATGATGGTGAACAATATTTCTCCATTTGGTTCGGCTATCTTCCATGGTACGATTCCGGTGTCTGATAGACCAAGTGGGACAGTTTTTATTAGGAGGACTGCCTAGTGTTTCACCTGCAGCTGGAGTAGTCTGTTGACTTTACGTCTGCTGACTTTAAGCACAATGAACGCAGTAACATTAGGTCAGTTCCTGTGTTATGACGCCAAACAATGCGCCGAACGAAGGCGAATAACCAGCAGTGTCTCTACCAATATGTCTATGTGCGCTGGTCGATATGTTAGTAGTTATCAGAATAAATTATCTGTGGTGCAGTACTGTTTTCGTAACACGGTGGATGCACACTCAAAATATCCAAAACAAAATAAAATTTAAGTTGCGAACATCCTAACGGTTGATGACCTCTGCAGATATGTTCACCAATAACTTCACCTGTTTCTCTGATAGTTTTAGCTTAGCTTCTTTACTTGAACATGTTTTGGTGGATTTATTTATGAACAGGCCTGAGAATGTTTTCCTCAGATATATTTCTGACCAGGCTTATTTTGATATTCGCTACGTAAGTGATATTTTCTAACTTGCTAATCTTACGATTATCAACTATGGACCACCTGAGGGAACGTAATAATGCCCACAGGTCTGTGTAACCTACATACGAAGCAGACACGAATGGCCTTTAGTACTTAAGTTCCTCTGTGATGAAATATTGATATCGCTTTGCAGATGCGTATCCGTAGAAAGCCTAAATGGTGTGGAGCTTTCATTGATTTGATAGCCAATGTTGATATACCATCCAAACCGAATGTTGGCTGACAGAATAGCAGAATTTCACTCGTCTGATGTACCTGAAGGGTAATTCAAACAAATACAGTACCTATAGAGGAGAATGTCGGTAGCTCAGGTAGCGTAGATGGTCGTTGGCTTGTTCGCTGAGCTGGGTAATTTAGTTGCAAACGTTTCATCACCAATCGAGGTGACATCATCAGTGCGTAGTTGTGCGTAGCGGTGGGTTATTGGTTGTGCACAATGATTTGCTGTTATTTGTTTCTAAAGACCCCGTATAGATCGTACTACTTACACTTCTCACAGGACGTCAAACAACACCACCCTAGATATACCGGAGGTGAGAATCAAAAGTCAAGGAACGGCACAATCCTTGATCACTTAGCGCAAAGGGGTCACTTAATCAATCCGATACACTCACCAAGAAATTTTGGTGGTATGAGAAGACCGTGATATTTCTAATCAAGGTTCACCATGTGAGTGAAACCAGTCTGTACAGACAAGCCCAGAAACACCGTGCAACTGTTTCATTCTTCTTGAGGTTGATCAGCACGTTACCTTTGTTAATCTTTAGGGTGATTTGAACTCTCGATTTCTCAGTTGGTAGCTGAGCACTGTACACTCTAGTCGTGGGTGGTTGATCAACAATGTTTTTGATCTAACCTGGATACGGTTTAGTACCATTCATCGTTCAACAGCGCATTTCAGATTACATGGGCCTAATCCACTGGGTCGGTGTATTTATTTCCAGTACAGGTGAATCGGTCGTAATCAAGTTGGTGAAAAAATCACCCTGCACCCATCAGTGATCCACTCATTTCGGTCTTGTGGTCTGACTGCTGTTTAGCCGATTACTATTCTGAAAACTGTCTGTATACCTATAATCACTACTTCAGTTTCCGCCTAGTACTTTGCAAGTGTAAAGACAGCTGAGTCATTTTTGTACACGTGTTTTGAACGCCTTCTATGAAGTCTAGACGGACTAGACCTAGAAATAGACCAATTACTTTAATAGATGTAAGAAAAAGATTAGTTTACCTAATCTGTTTAGAAAAGGAGGATTTCGATTGCTCGAGGAAGCTGAATGCAACACATCTCAAGCTTAGAGATGAGTCGGGGTCGTGTTGTAGGTTGACTTAACGTCTGTGAAAGCAAACATGTAGAACAAAGCTAGCAAAGCACTTCAACCACTCAGATTTGTTTACATCTATGATTTAGCACCATACACTGCCCTATTACAGATCATACCATGTGCACATTACCGGAGTCAACACAGTACAAATCAGTATTGTTGTTTTTCATTTGCAGGACTACATGTACTTTGATAGCAGTTGCTGATTCGGAGTATGTTGTTGCATAATCGACTTGGAAATTTCTCATACATGGTGCAATATATCCATCTCATCCTGCTGTCATGGCAAACAAAACCATCAGACAGAATATTCAAGTGTATCTCGATTTTGTTCCTTCAATTATTTCTTTGGCCATTTTGGCATTTTTTTCACGTTGAGTATGTTCACATGGAAAACACCAAAACAGTATTTTTGGTGTAACAAATTTTATAACAAATACTTGTTAGAATGTTTTAATTTTTCACCATTTGATCTTAACGGTTTCTTTATGATTTTTCGATGGTCAAACTAACGTCCGGTTGTTTGAAACGACAAATTACTCGCTTTGTTCATGACAGTTTCTTGTTTTGTCCAAATAAATGGATGGGGAATTGTTCGGACGGACTAATGATACGAAAGACTTGTTCTTAGGACGAAGCGTCCGAGGAACCTTCGTCACGGTGACTGACACTAAACTCTATCCGAATGTTCTGTCTTTCCAAGTTATCGATGGACGTCAGCCCTAGTTTACGCTTCCCTCAGATTTCCGGGATTTTCAGTTACTCTGAAATTACGCGTTTCATTTTGTCTGATAAGACTAGAGTTCGGCCACTATTGTGCATTTCCAGGTATTCGTAAACAAAATCATTAATCACTGATGGAATTTGTCAATTCGCTTTTCCTGCGATAAGTACGTACCTTTTTTAAGTACCACTATTTGGTTTAGTCCTCGTGTCTGTCTACTAAGTGACATCAACTGAAACGCCCTGAATTCCTGAGCTTTTTCCTAATGCAATTCTTTTTTAGTTTTTCCTGAAACTTCAATTTTTCTCCAGCATCAGCTGGATGATTCCGGTTGGGAACACAATGAAATATTAGCCGGACAATTCGCACACTTTGCGTTAATTCACTTTACTTTCGAGCTTTACGTATTTATTGGGTTCCAGTCCGAAAATTGAAGTCAATTCATGCTGAAAGGCTATAGAGCACTGTTCAGGTATTCCATTCTTCTTAGAAGTAATCAGCAATACAACTCTCATGGATCTGTGAGGCCATTCGAAATCATGACCTACTGGTTTGAGGCTAGACGGTATGTTATTCGGATATGAGCGCTGGATAGAAAGGCTGATGACCTCGTGTGTATTCAGGTGGTAGGGGCACCACCCTTCCGATAGAAGGACCAGGTTATGAAATTTAATACTTGCTGAGTCTTTGATAAACCAATTTGTGTGGACATTCCATCTCAGTCGTCCACACTCCTGGAGTCAATTTATATCGAACAATATGCCCAAACAGATTGACCAAGGTATAGTGGTGCTGCATTTTATCTCATCATCATCATCATCATCATCATCATCATCATCGACAGCATGACATCAGTGTTCAACACCGATGCTTCTCTGCCGTACAACCATGACTTATTTGAAAGCCTTATTGTGAAGAAAAGAATAAAGGTGGACGGGTAAGGAACTTAGTGCCAACGCACTACAATCATTGTGAGATGCCTTCACTTCCAGACACCAATTCACGCAATCTGGATAGAAACTGGCAACATGGTCGCCATTGGCATTTGTTGGCAGCCGTATCTTGCAGCGTTCAGGCGCACTGAGGATCATTCAGTCCCCATCCTAGAAGGCGAGTTGCATTGACAGTACTTAAACGTCTCGTGATTTCTTTCGTACCCCTCTGCCAGGTCTAGATTTGGCCACCTCTATGCTTCCGCCAGTCTAATTTGGGCATGGAAAACAGCCTTCTCTTCGGCAAACGATGGCCACACATGGCTAAACGAACACAGCTTCCGGTGATGGACACATTCTTCGATGGAAGTTGCGTGACCAAAAACCCGCTTTTTAATTGCCCTGCTACGGATACGCCGACACCAATCCACACGAGCTATGATCCTGAGGCGATTGTCGAGCACTTGAAGATGTCTCAGTTTCACTGCTCGAACAGACCAAATCTCAGAGCCATACGACAAAACAGCTCGCACTTTAGCTGGATACACACGTCCCTTGAGATTCAGGGTTACACCGTTTTGATGCCATAGGTGTCGCAAATTAGCAAATGCGGCCCGAGCCTTGCAGATTCGTGCACTGACCTTATCTATCTGAACTAACACAACTTCACATATACATTCCACAATTTCGAGTACCTCCCCCTGGATTGTAAGTGGCGACTGCGGTGACTGCATGTCCAGGAGCATGTCCTTACACTTTGTGGGTGTAAAGTGTATACCAAAAGGCATCCAAAAGCATCGCCTTCTTCCCCTCTTTGATGATGAGGTCGATGTCATCTGCATATTCAAAATTAATAAGGTTTTCTCCAGAGTCTATTAGAACACCGGGATTATGAAGACCTTCCATCGTTCGAATAATTACTTTATCGATCACGGAGTTGAATGAGAATGGATTGAGTGGGTATCATTAACGTACCCTAACGTATGAAAGCATTTGGACAGCTTGCCGCATAATCTTACATGTCACGGAAGTCTGAGAATACGAGGATCCTATTATTTTCACGAACTCCCGGGACATTCCGTAGTGAACAAGCCTGTCAAGAAGAGCAGACTGGTCAGCCGAGTTGAATGCGCTTCGAAAATCCAGGAATACTAGAATTTTGGATCGTTTATATGTTTGGCGTTGTTCTAGCACCTGACACGTGTGAAGGTTTGGTCAACACAACCCCTCCAAGGCCGTAATCCCGCTTGTTACTCTCGAGTCAATGTTTCACGAGCCACCCTAAGGCGACGAAGCACAACGGACGCCAACAGTCTCGTTACGACCAAGGTCAATCTTCTCTCCCTATGGTTGCCACACACTACGAGCCCCTTTTTTGAGAATGGGCACTATCACTGACCCTCCAGTTGCCTGGGACAGACTCCGTCCCCCAATTGCAAGCAAACAGACCAAATCAGCACTTAGGATATAAACCCCATCTTCGGACAACGCGAAACGGGGGTCATTCGGACCAGAGGCTCGATGGCATTTGAGAGAACATATACAGTCATGAACAGTCATGAACCTCCGAGGCCGTAGGCAGTTCTGCGTTCACTGTCGAGGGTTTTACGTCACCTGTAGACTCCATACGTGTGACAGCTGGTGGCTATGACAATTGTTGTTCAAAGTATTCGGCTCAACGGTCGAGGCGCTCTTCTTTATTCAAGATGATCACTCCTTTCCAGTCTTTGATGGTTTCGGTCACAGGTGGTTTCCGCGGACCGATCGCACGGATCAACTGAAATAATCTCCGAGCATTCGCGGCTTTCTGGACCTCTTCCATTTCTTAGCTTCCTGTGCCCATTAAACTTCACGGTTGGCTTGCACGTTCACCTCCGCACCAAGTAATGTTCTGGGCCGAATGAGATATTTATTCGAGATTTAAAGACTACCACCGTTCGGTCTGATATCTAGTGCTTGGGTGGGCCTGGTCGTGCTGTGTCGCAGACAAAATTCCCAGTACTATGCAAAAGGGGAAATCTCGTTCGATTATGAGTTCAAATCTGATGATGGAACCTTTGGAAGAGACTTTAGAAGACGATGCAGGTAAGTTGGTCTATCACCCGGGTCTACCAGTCATTCAGTTGCTAAGACATTTGTCCACACCTTACTCGGCCCTGAAAAACGTAGGAAGAAAGGACTCCGGAGGAGCGCGTGATCAGAATCCACAAATGTGTTCCAAACTGACCGGCGGTCAGCTACTGATCCACGCCATCGATAACTGATGGCAGTGTGATCGATTTGAGTTGAATGAGATATTTTTCGAGATTTAAAGACTACCACCGTTCGGTCTGATATCTAGTGCTTGGGTGGGCCTGGTCGTGCTGTGTCGCAGACAAAATTCCCAGTACTATGCAAAAGGGGAAATCTCGTTCGATTATGAGTTCAAATCTGATGATGGAACCTTTGGAAGAGACTTTAGAAGACGATGCAGGTAAGTTGGTCTATCACCCGGGTCTACCAGTCATTCAGTTGCTAAGACATTTGTCCACACCTTACTCGGCCCTGAAAAACGTAGGAAGAAAGGACTCCGGAGGAGCGCGTGATCAGAATCCACAAATGTGTTCCAAACTGACCGGCGGTCAGCTACTGATCCACGCCATCGATAACTGATGGCAGTGTGATCGATTTGAGTTCTCGAACGGCACACGCTTGGAAGATACCATAAGGCCAAACGAATTTGGCTATTTCGGATGTTAGCAATGCATAAAAACAGCCTGCGATCAGCGCACAGCTGAAGCAATCATTCATCATTGTTCGTACGTACGGAATCCACTCCATGTCGACCTCCCAATTGAGTCTCAGATTGCTAAGCCTGCTCACTTGAGTATTCAAATCTCTGGCAATCACCACGATGTCTGAGCTTCTAGCTCACCGCATCAGTGCATTCAGTGCGTCAGAAAACCTGCCTTTGACGGCGTCGGAGCTACAGTCAGCTGGGGTGTAGGCGGACATGATAAACAGACATCTTTCAATTTCCTAATTGTTAGGCTCCTTCCTTACCAGACGAACCTCGCAGAGGAGGCTATCAGCAGGTATCCAGTCAAGCAAGGGTAAATACACTTGGTGACACAGGACGATATCGACTCCCGCACATCGCGCAGCAGCAGCCTCTGTATAACCAGAGATGTTTAGCCGTAAGCGAGTGGAGACTGGAGTGGGGCTCAATCACTGTGCTTGCATCTTGAATTCTTGTTTTTGGGACACAGCACACAGCAATGCCAAGGAAGTTCAACTTGAGAGCATGAGCAGCTTGTTGTTGTGCTCACTGTAGAGTGCGGACAATGAAGGCGGCCAGATAGAGTGTGTCGAGGCTTCAGGATTGAATTGGAGATACCTGAGGATGAAGGTGTAATGTGACGAGCAGATGCTCCATGCAAATCGATGCACGACGAACGGAGTCACCAGTCCTCAGTGCTGGGCCTACAAGGAGAAAGTTATTAACGTGGTGGGGAGAGAGGAAAGAAGTATGTGATAGAAAGAGGAAGGGAGCGTATGTAGTAGCCTATTTCCGCTTACCCTCTCTGGTGTATGCAGCGAGTAAAACGACCCGGCTAAAGGTACCACCCGACGGCCGATGTGGCTTGAGAGTATTGTTAGTCGTGAATGTCATGGTTGTACGCGGGTTGGGATACTGTCAGGGCGCCCACACCTGGACCGGAGGACGGCTAGGGTCCTCAACCAAAGCCTTTAGCTCAGGAGCCTAACCGCAAAGCAGCGGTGTTTGTCGGAAATGCAGTACATTACCATTGCGACGGAACAAGTGGGCAAAAGTTTCAACCGCCAACCTGGAGGACCAGGAGACTGTGTTCGTCAGACCTCTTACCATTGGCCAACCTGGTATGAGAGACTCTGTGAGTGTCGTGTGGACACCCCCAGTAAAGATGAGGTGCGCAAGCTGTCACACCACGGTAAGTTCCGGTCTCTTCGTGATGGAAATCGTTCCTAATACTCTTCCAGTGCCTAGCTGCCATGTCAACTGAAAGAAGCACGGGGGCTGCGATACTGTGAGGTTGCCCGAGCCTAGACAGAGGAAGTCGAGATGCACTGGTCGGGTTTGAGCCACGGACCTTACGGTCAGTAAATTCGCGCACAAACCACTTGAACCATCTCTTTTCCCCCAAAAATATGGAACGCCTCACAATTTTGCGTGTCATCCTTGCGCAGATATCATGTTTATCTTCTGTGTATCATTCCAGTTTTAGCATACTTACCGTGGAAGCAAGTACAGGCCACTCCTGTCTGGATGCAAGTCACTACTGCTTAGCGAATGATGGCCACATGCCCCAGTGTTTAGCCGATTCCAAATGTTTCTGTATCGAGTCGTTCTATGAGTTGTGCACGGCTGTCGGTTGTAATGCAGTTATGATGAATTCATCAGTACACTATCTTGCCTGGTTTGTGGTTTGCTACCGGATATTTTGTAAACAGCATTTGGATTCTCTGATACTACGCATTCTATTATGTTTTCCTTGCAAAAACTTATGGCCATCACTCTCATCTTAAGTTAGAATTGCTGGATTCTATCTACGGCTATTTTCGCGACCAATTTCGTACTACGATATTTTATATCCCGCCATTCATTGTCTTAAGTTAATTATTCTCCTATACAGAGACAACGTGAAAGAAGCAAACAAAGGTGGTCACTTTTGGACTGTTTTTTCTCAAAAGGCCTGGTGGCTTATGGAGACTTCGAAAAACGGAGGACGGCTAGGGTCCTCAACCAAAGCCTTTAGCTCAGGAGCCTAACCGCAAAGCAGCGGTGTTTGTCGGAAATGCAGTACATTACCATTGCGACGGAACAAGTGGGCAAAAGTTTCAACCGCCAACCTGGAGGACCAGGAGACTGTGTTCGTCAGACCTCTTACCATTGGCCAACCTGGTATGAGAGACTCTGTGAGTGTCGTGTGGACACCCCCAGTAAAGATGAGGTGCGCAAGCCGTCACACCACGGTAAGTTCCGGTCTCTTCGTGATGGAAATCGTTCCTAATACTCTTCCAGTGCCTAGCTGCCATGTCAACTGAAAGAAGCACGGGGGCTGCGATACTGTGAGGTTGCCCGAGCCTAGACAGAGGAAGTCGAGATGCACTGGTCGGGTTTGAGCCACGGACCTTACGGTCAGTAAATTCGCGCACAAACCACTTGAACCATCTCTTTTCCCCCAAAAATATGGAACGCCTCACAATTTTGCGTGTCATCCTTGCGCAGATATCATGTTTATCTTCTGTGTATCATTCCAGTTTTAGCATACTTACCGTGGAAGCAAGTACAGGCCACTCCTGTCTGGATGCAAGTCACTACTGCTTAGCGAATGATGGCCACATGCCCCAGTGTTTAGCCGATTCCAAATGTTTCTGTATCGAGTCGTTCTATGAGTTGTGCACGGCTGTCGGTTGTAATGCAGTTATGATGAATTCATCAGTACACTATCTTGCCTGGTTTGTGGTTTGCTACCGGATATTTTGTAAACAGCATTTGGATTCTCTGATACTACGCATTCTATTATGTTTTCCTTGCAAAAACTTATGGCCATCACTCTCATCTTAAGTT